CTGAATTTGGTTAAAATGACAGTTCATCAATCAGGATATCTTTACCAAAATGAAACAGAATGAACAGTGCGCAGTCCAGCAGTATTTTCAAAGATAAACTGAAACAGTTGGCATGCATCAAAAGTGGTAGAGTCATAAGAATTCATGTTCATCACACACATATTTCCAAGAGCTTGGCAAGATGTTAAATTGGCATAAACCTACGAGAGAACCATGGCAAAGAAATGTAACATGGACTTTAATAACTTTAATAACTATATTTGAAAGAAAACTAATTTGTTGAGTTTGCCTCTCAAACTTCTCAGTTTTCCCAATCAGGAAGAGGCAACTCCATTTTTATAGTTACTCAAATCAAACATTGCAGTGATCTTCTTTCTTTCCCTTCCCATACCCAACTCCTCAGTAAATCCTGTTGGCTCAATCTTCACTGTATATTCCGACACTGAACCTCTCTCATTTCCATGCTACACTCTTGGCTATGGGTCCACCATCTCTCACTCGGATTGCTGTAATACTGTGCTGACTGGTCTCCCTGCTTCTGCCAAATCTCCTCTCCATGCAAGTGATCCTTTCAAAACCTGAAGTTCAGTCATATTTTCCTTTGCACAAAATCCTTCTATCCCCCTTGCAGTAAACTCCAGGTCCTCGCCATAGCCACCCCTTCATCCCCAAATCTCTCTCTCCACTTTCCCTTACTTACTCTGCTCTGGCTGCTCTAGCCTCTTTCCTGTTTCTTAAGCATGAACATACCAAAGAACTCCTGTTTTGGAACCTTTGCACTTCCTGTGGTCTCTGCTTAGAACACTCTTTCCCTGGATATTTACATGGTTCACTCTCACTTCCTTCAGGGCTTTGTTCAAATATCACCAACAGAGATACCTATCCTGACCACCCTATATGAAATAGTACCCCTTCCACTCTCTGTGCTCTTTATCCTGGTTTGTCTTCACAGCACTTAGAACCACCTGCATTTACTTAGAATATAATTCCATGAAGGATTTTTTTCCTGTGTTTTTCTGAAATATATAATCTGATTTGAGAACAGGGCCTGGCACACAATAGGTCATTAATAAAATTTACTAAATGACAGTATGGATCACTCTCCCTTAACACTCAATTCCAGCCGAACAAGCTTGAAGACATTCAATTTTGTGTATTTTTTTTCCACCAGAAATGGCTTATTCTTCTTATAGAATATGACCAAGGAGACATATCTACTTAGAAGACCTTTATTATCTGGGGAAAAAATGGTGGCACAATTCTTCAAAATGAAATAAATTTACTTTTAAAAAATTCAAACTTACCCCACAAGCAGCTGCTGATGACTGCAAATACTTTACAAACCATTCTGAAGTGAAAGACATGCCCTATTCACAAAAAAGATAAGTTTTAGTTTCAAGTTCAAATGAAGATTCCTTACCTACATTACTAGGAAAACATTAATATGCATATTTTCCAATGGGAAATGGCTACTATTACTTTCTCAATGTTATCAGAAAATAGTTTAAATGGGAATATAAGAATTAATTCTAACCAAACTCAGTTATTACAAATCAGGACTGCACTGCAAAATCATGTCACTTAGGCAAAAGATATGAGGAAACAAAGTGTGTCTATAATCCAAAAAAACTATTATGCCCATTTTAGTAATACAAAAAACAAAGAACAAAATGGCAAAAAATAAAAGAAAACCTGGATACTGATTTAGTATTTCATTGTTAATATTTGCTGATTTAGGATTATTATACTGTATTAAATTGGCAAGTCATAAAAGAGAAATATTTATGAATGCTTTCTAAGCAACAGGAAATTGGGGATATAGAGAGTAACTAACATTTAAAAATCTCCGAAGTAGTGATTCTCAAACAATGATGAACATCAGAATCACCTGTGAGATTTCCTAAGAACAGAAAATGCCTGGCTGCATTCCAAATCAATCTCCAAGAGGAACCAAGACATGCATGTGCTCTGAAAGCTGCAGATACAAATCTCTGCTAAGAACCACTGCTTTAGAGCTTACCCGCACATGTTGCTAAAAAATGACACACTGAGAAACACCTTTCAGGGTAATTTACTGGACATGTACAGAGGAGATGAAACCAATTATAGGGAACATGGCACCAGAGCTATCAAAAAAAAAATCTAAAATAAAATTATAAGTCACTATTTTCATCTTTTTAAGAAGGAAGAATTCTTACTTTTTAAGAAAAAAACCCACATCTGTGTATAAGATTGAAGATCACATTAAAAAAAAACTGAAGTTTTTTAAGTAAAAAAATGGAAAGCAATGACAACAGTGCTTGGAAATTCATGTAAAATAAACCCACAGATAATTCTAGTGGCAGCATTAAAGCTGCATGATCCTTTCATAAAATAATATCTACACATTTTAAACCAGGAATTTAGAAACACTTAGGAAATTTATCTTAGGGAAATAATCTCTCCAAAAGGAAAAACATATCTATTTGCATAAAATGGTTGACAGCAATATTAACAGAACACCTAAATATTCAAAGGCACTACAATTACATAAATTTCAGTGCATTAATGAGAGTGTTAGGTAGCTATTAAAAATTACATTGGTTGAGCCTGTAACATGGTATAGAGAAACCAAGGAAGTGCAAAAGGATTGATGGAGACATGTCAAAATAACACAGGAGCTTATCTCAAAATTTGAAACAATTTGAGCTTTGAAAAGAAAAATAATAGTAAACAATTATAACACACTGAATAAACAAATTTCATGAGTTCGCAAAAAACTAAAAAAAAGCACAGAAAGAAAGGAAATTTTTACAGAAGATTGCTAGCTAATAAATGTAGAGGGAGTAAGAGAACTGTGAAATTATTTTGAAATGACCAATTGAAAACTTGATTCAGAAAAGGTTGGTTCATCAATGGCCACCACATGGATAAGTAGTCTCAAAGTAAAATCTCAGACTAACTTATTAATCACAATACCTTTACAATGAAGAGAAATGGCAGATATCATGGTGACCAGGCAATCAAATTTAGCATCACCAGGAACTGGACTACCTAACATGTGCTCTTTGTTATGATGCAATGGCTGCACACAACACTATATCATATTCTTGCAAAAAAGATGTTTCTCTGAGTCTAATCATGAGAAAACAATCAGAAAAGTCCACATTGTGGGACACTCCACAAGAGAGCTGACCTTGACTCTGCATGTCAATGGCATAAAAGCAAAAACAGCAAAAACATCAACAAAAACCACAAAAGCAAAACATAGTAGGGTCTAGATTAAAGAAAACTAAAAGACTAATTGCAGTGTGGGATCCTTAAATGGATCCTTGTACTCTCGCCTCCCCATCTTCCTGCCCCTGCAAAAAGAGGAGGGAGCATGAAGGTCGTTATTGGAATAAGAGGGCAAATTTGGAAATGAACAGTCTATCAGGTAATTCTATTACATTCATTTTAAATTTCTTTGGTGTGATACCAGGAAAATCCACCTTGTTCTTAGGAGCCACATAATAAAACATTTAGGAGTGAAGTGTCATACATCTACAACTTATTTTCTTTCTTTCTTTCTTTTTTTTTTTTAAAGATTTATTTATTTATTTATTTGACAGAGAGAGAGAGAGACAGCGAGAGAGGGAACACAAGCAGGGGGAGTGGGAGAGGGAGAAGCAGGCTTCCTGCCGAGCAGGGAGCCCGATGCGGGGCTCAATCCCAGGACCCTGGGATCATGACCTGAGCCAAAGGCAGACGCTTAACGACCGAGCCACCCAGGTGCCCCTACAACTTATTTTCAAGTGGCTCAGAAAGAAAAAGCGCCTGTGTGTGTGCACACGTGTGTGTGTATGCATTTTACATGCACATGGAAAGATAAAGCAAATGCAGCAAAACATTAATGATTGGTTAACCTAGATGAAAGATATATATACAGTCATGGTCTCTATTTTTAACTTTTCTATAATTTTGAAATTTTCTTTTTTTTTTAAGATTTTAGGGGCGCCTGGGTGGCTCAGTTGGTTAAGCGACTGCCTTCGGCTCAGGTCATGATCCCAGGGTCCTGGGATCAAGTCCCACATCGGGCTCCCTGCTCTGTGGGGAGCCTGCTTCTCCCTCTCCCACTCCCCCTGCTTGTGTTCCCTCTCTCGCTGTGTCTCTCTCTGTCAGATAAATAAATAAAATCTTTAAAAAAAAAAAAAAGATTTTATTTATTTGACACAGAGACAGAGAGCACAAGCAGGGGGAGCAGCAGGCAGAGGGAAAGGAGAAGCAGGCTCCCCGCTGAGCAGGGAGCCTGATGTGGGGCTCGATCCCAGGACTCTGGGATCATGACCTGAGCCGAAGGCAGATGCTTAACCGACTGAGCCACCCAGGTGCTCCTAATTTTGAAAATAAAAGTTGAGAAAAACATAAAACCAAGATGCTAGATCACTATTACTATCTTTGGGGAAAGTTAATGGGAAGACGCTGACTCATGTATACAGAAATTCTTTACTGATTGGCAAGTATAAATGCCTGTCATAAAATTATACAAAACTAATTATGTTCCAATTCTGTATTGTTCAAGAAAACATTTGATATGTCATGTTTTCCAATTAGGAAAAGTGTAAATTTTCAAGTTAATACAAGTAGTTTAGTTTAGCTGCCAATTACAGTATCAACATAAACTAATAAACATGCATTCTGGTTTATCAATCCATCTAGTCTCTTGCGGGTTTAATTATTTTGAACTGGTCCGTTAGGCCCTGACTGACCTCCAGGTACATTGCTAAAACTGAGTTCTTATACCTGCCAGACAGAGGACTGGGCCAAGATAGTCACACAATCTTAACTACATTTATTTTCATGTCTCACACGACTACACAGAACCTGTCTCAACACTCGTTATAAAATGACTTAAAATCAAGGTTTCTAAACTTGTCCTTAGGAAAGCATCAGTGTCCAAGACCGATATGTTTAAATGAAATGCATTAATTGAATCAGATTAAGAACAGAATTGCCTTTCTCTGCCCACCTTTTCTTAACAGAAGTCTGCAGAGAAGTCTGCAAACATTCGGATCTACTGCACAGTGGTGTGAAGAAGGGAGGATGTGGAGGTGGTATGGAAGAGAGCAGCATGGTTCAAAGACTGTTACACAGAGCTAACGAGTTAAGTGAGGATGAGACCCAGATATCTCACTACAGGAGAAGGTACTGAAAATCTGTCAAAAGGAAAGGTTAGAAGGAACACTGAGGAACTGCTTTAGAATTGAAAGCATTAGTATGAACTCATTTACTTCAATATATATATATATACAAAATAATGAAATAGTTATAGATATGTATATGTATGTAAGTGTGTGTGTGTATATATATTCTAGCTACGTCTCCTAAAAGGGTATACTAAGTGTTGTAATCTTGGTTTCTAAATATTATCCTCCACAAATTCTTAGAGAAATGGCTGATTCCAGGAATGAGGTAGGAAAAGTACAAGATGAACCTGGAAATCTCCTTGTGCCAGAAAGGAAAGAAATCCTCAACAAATGATGGAGACATATCAAAAAGGTATAGGAGCCAACTTGAAGGGGCTTCAAAGGCTAAATCTAGGACAATTTGAAAAGCAAAACAAATAATGCATGTATTGGATTATAACCAACTGAATAAAATAGGAACCTACTAATCTATACGGACATTAATAAACAAATAAATACATAAATGGGAAGATTGGGAAATTCTTCCTTACAGTAGAAGGTTAATTAATAAATGGAGAAAGAACAATGTAAACATTTGGCAACCTCATAGTAGTGGTTGATAAAGGCAAGCATCACCAATGGAGACTAAAGCTTATTGTTACTTATTGTTAATGTTTGGTGAAGATGAAGCATAATCTAAAATTCTCCTCACAAAATACTAATCAATTCCAAAGGGAAAAATGGTACCCTTATAGCATACATGGTGACTTCATAGCAGGTGATCAAAGTTAACATCACCAGTGATAGGACATATGAATGTTGCATGCCTTCTGTTATGGTACAACACACTGAGAAAAGCAAGACATCTTTTTTGTGGTTTCCTGCCAAGCATGTCCTGATTATGAGGAAAAACTGGATGGACCCAGTCAAGGGTCATCCTATAGACTGTAAGGCCTATAACCTTCAAAGCTGTTGAGTTCATGAAAGGCAGGAAAAGACTAAGGACCTGTTCCAGATCAGAGATTGAAAGAGACGGGAGCTCTATATGACTGATCTGACACCAAAGAGGAAAAAAAAAAATTTATTGGTACTTTTGGCAGAATTATTTTAAAAAGGAAAAAAGAAGAAAAAATAAAAATAAAGGCCTGCAAGTTTGACAATGATATACAGGAGGTCATTATAACCTGAGACTGGGGAAGAACACTCCAGAAGACATCCATCTTATTGCTAAGGAGCTAATTTTGGGGTGATCTCAGAGCTCCGTTATCTATACCCCTATCTTAGTATTTATTTTGTTGTTTTGCAAATATTTGGTACTTGCCTATCACACCAGTAAGACAATACTGGAGAAGAGGAATTTTTGCTTTATTCGTCAAGAATAATGGTTGTCCTCCAATTCCTCCTAATCACTCCCACTGATCTAAGGATGATAATGAGCAACCAGATCCTAGCCTGTCCACCCCAAGCTCTGCTGGCATACTGGGTATTTTCAATGCTCATTAACCAACTTCTAGTTAGTCATCTAACTCCTATTCCCTTGGACTCATGATCTCTTCAGTTCCAATTCATCCACTTTCTTCCCATTTTACATAGCAGACATTGTCAGACCAGCATCTGTTACAAAGGCTCTAACCCTAGGCCTCCATGCTCTCAACTACAAAATAAGGAACCTGGCCAGATACAAATAACCCTTGTTTCTCCAGTGATTACCATGTACAGGCACTATGAGGTAAGTATTATTACTATGCCCAATGTATAGACAATAAAACTGAAGTTTAGAAATAGTAAATAAGTCCAAGGATATATAATTAATGACGGGCAAATCCAGGGTTCAAGTCAAGAGTCTCTGGGACTCTTAACACATTATGCTGCTTCTTTATAGGATCTATAAAAGAACTTTTCAGCTTAAACATTCGGAGATCATTGAAAAAGGATGAGCCAAGGTAGAGAAGAGAGTAACTCTACTTATAAATAATAATGCTGAGTTAAGGTTTCTCAGATTGATAATTTCTGTTTTAAAATGACTTACACAGAACTTTCTCATTTTAGTCCCAGACTAATGAGCAAAGGAAGTAATGCAACAAGAATGGAACAAAAAAACTGAAACATACTCACAAGATCGCCATAACGGGCAGATGAAATTACACGTGAAGGAAAATTCCCTGTGCTGCTGAAACATAATCCCCCTGTCTTCATAAATAAAAAAAATAAAATATAAACAGTTTATGGAAAGGTATAAGCAACTTAATTTTAAAATATATACTTTATTAATTCGATTAGCCTTACTAAAATGTTTGGTGCTGAACATGTACAGGACCTGCTGGTATCGATGAATGTTGGTTCACATCGGTTACATCTGTCAACATCACAAAAAAATTTTTAAATGTCAATGAATTATGCTAGACCTAATTTCATCAAACATTTGTCTTCCTAAATGCTGAATTAGAATAGATTCATTCAGCTAAGTAATTACTTGTAGTAAGGTAAACAAATTAAAAATATTAACACTGATTTGATTAGTTTTATACCACTCCTATTACAAAGCAAGGTATAAATAAATAAATAAAATTAACCAATAATAGGAGAGCATTCTTTTGAAACTACATGGAGGGTGTAGCATAAATAATACTGAATAGCAGAGATTGTTAAGTCACTCAATTAAGAGCCCAAAAACCTCATATAAATGAAACCCAATCTGTTTTCATATGTAGTTATATTAAATCTACTTTCCTTATTTTGCTGTCACAAAGCAAAAAGGAAACATATGCTGAAAAAGATATGTGTATCTACCCCTTCATCAAACCTACAACAAACACTTTTAAAGTCTATTCATTATCCTTATTTATTTTAGGAAAACACAGTTTTCATTAATGTATGATATACAGAAAGGAAGAGCATCCACCAGAGTAGTGGGAACACTGAAGGGTTTGTTGTATTCATTACTTGTAAGACAGAGCAGGTAGGAGGGGATGGGGCATGGCACAGAACTAGGCTCGAGGCAGTACTGGAAGGGAAGGCTTGGGGCTCAGCCCAGTAGTCAATATTTGGACACTACAACCCACATCAGCCTAAGAGAAATAGTGATCCAATACTAAGTATCCCCAGGAGAAGCTACTCAAGTATTTTCTATTTTAAACTTGGGAACTGAAGAGACAACTCTGCTTAGAGGGAAGTCATCATGTAGCCCTCAAAAAAAAAAATGTGAAGAAGTTGAAATAGGGATACTTCGTTTGAATTAGAGAGAGGCAGGGGTGTGTGTGTGTGTGTGTGTGTGTGTGTGTGCGCGCGCGCGCGCGTATGTGCTGTGCATATGCACACATGAAGGGAAAACAGGAAGTGACAGAGAATAGGGCTATACATCAGGGTTCTTGGGTTACTATAATTATCATTTACTTATTAATATGTTTTTTATATAACTTTATTATAAAGCAGAGTTCCTGGCACACAGTAAGTATGCTGTGAATAGAAGTTAATATTTATATGCTATATATATTATAGATTATGTACAAATTACATAATAACAAACAAAAACAGCTACCTTTTACTGAGCATTTACTCTAAAGCACTATGCTAAGAATTCGCATATCCATTTCTGAGCTGTGAAAAAAGCCTATGAAGTGGGTGGTATATCTCCATTCTAAAGACAAGAAGACTGACTTACTAAGCTTGTCAAGGTCAAACAACTGATAAGAGACTGAGACAAACTTTGACCTCTAATCAGTCTCATTCTCTGGGCTTCAGCTTCTTTATGTTAATGTCTACTTCTATCCTTTGGGTTACTGTGACGAAAAGTGGTATCATAGCAAGTATTTTAAAAAAGGTACAGATTCCATATAAATGTAAGATGATATTTAAAAAGTCACCACCCAGCACATGGCTTACCTGTTTCCTAAAGCATTTGCTACCGTAAAAGAGTTTTCATTTTCATCACAGAGCTTACAAGTTGCTTGAGACAACAATGTTCCATTAACAGCTCTTTCCACTAAACGATTCAGAAACAAAATTGTAACTCAAAGTCAGCATATAAGCTTCTGTATATTTTGTAAAGCCCACTCATAGTTATTATTCTAATAATTCTCAAAATACCTGATTTGCAGAAGAGGCATGTCAAACACCACCAAAACAAAGTATAGAAAAGTGAAGACTTCCTCACTCCCACATAAAAAAATACAAAACTAATTTTCCAAATCATAATAATAAATTAGTATTTTTTCAAGTTGTTGTTTTTGTTTTTTTACTTCTTACCTGTATGTTCCTGTTATAGTGGGTATGCAGAAACAATTTCATAGACAGCTGACATGTTTCTACAACTTACAGGGTTTTTGGTAGCACCTACTAAAATTTTAAATTCACATACCCTTCAACACTACAATTTCATTTTTAGATACCTAACCTACAGAAACACTTGTACATGTGTATAAGGATATTTACTGAAGCATTACTTGTTAGAAAATCTAAATATTTATAATAGCAAAATGATGGTATATTCAACCCATGAAATACTATGGAGTAGATTAAAAAAAATGAGGTAATCTAATAGATCATACTGGTAATTGAAAAAAGTATGCTGTAGAACAATATTTTTGGTATGAAATATTTATATATATATATTTATATAAAAATACCAGTTATATTTCCTGTGGCTATAATGTATATTTTAAAAAACAGGAAAAAAAAGGTTCTAGAAGGAAACAGACATGCAAACATGTATGTGCATACACATCAAAATGATAACAATTACTTTGGGGCTAAGAGAATTAACAGAGAACCAGCACTGGGAAAATGGGTAAAGGACCATTAGTCCCAATCATAATGTTATCAATAATGTTTTACCCATAACGTTTTAAGTTTTTACAAGGTGGTAAAAAGGATTTTAACCAAAGTAAGGGTGAATGACTTGTTTCTCCTACAGTCATCCCCATCTCAGTAAATGGAAACTCCATTGGACCATTTACTCAGGCCCCAGTCCTTAGAGCCTCCTCATTTCTTTTCACACTGCACATTAAAAACAATAAAATTAAAATTAAAAAATAAATCTGCAAACCTTGTTAGCTCTTTTTTCAAAATACATCCAGAAACTGAATTATTCTCTCTACCTTCACAACTCTACCCCAGGCCAATGGCCATCATCTATCACCTGGACTTTTAACGACAGCTTCCTAATTGGAACCCTGGTTCTATTCTCCAGGCAGAAGCTAGAGTGAGACTTTTCAAAACCAAGTGTGATCATTTCAATCCCCTGAAAACCTTCCAATGGCCTTCCATTTCATTTGGGGTCATTTCTAAGGTCACCATTACAGCCTAAAAGGCCTTACATGATCTGCACACAATCTCCCCAACTTTCCAGACCCATCTGCTTCTTTCCAGACCCTTGCTTGCTTCAGCCACATTAGTGTATTTGCTGCTCCTTGAACATGCCCGATTCTTTCCCATCTCAGGATATTTCTTACTTGCTATTCCCTCTGCCTAGCATGAGTCCCCTAGTCATCTACATGGCTTTGTCCCTCACTTCCTTCAAATCTTTGCTCAGATGTCACCTTTCCAAAGAGGTCTTCCATGATCATCCATGTAAAATAACACTTGCTCTCTCTTCCTTGCCCTGCCTTATTTGTCTTCATAGCACTTACCACCACCTGGCATATACTATTCATTTGCTTATTGTCTTCCTCTTGCCACTAGAACCTAAGTTTGATTCACTGCTGTATCCTAGCACCTGGCAGGTAGTGCTCTAAATAAACATTTTTTTATTTGAAAAACTTAAAATTGGAAGGTTTCACATAAAAATTGTGTATTTTTAGCATCTTTTAAAAAACAGGAAAGTCTGATTTCATGGAACCCATGTTCTTACATAATGACGACAATCTGCTGCTACTGAATTGGGGCTAGCTACTGCCTTTTAGCTTCACTGTCCATCTGTTAAGTGAAGTTTTAAAATTTTATTTTAACATTTATTTTAATTTTGTCAACAAATATTTATGAATAAATAAATATGACAACATACAAATATTTTCAAGAATGTATAGAGACATATAAGTTCTAAAAGTATTCTTGGAAAAACACAAAAGAAAATAATGACTACCTTAGAGGACTAGGAATGAGAGTGAACACAGAAGGGAAAGCACTTAGTTTTTATATTTTTCTATACTATCTAAATTTCTAGCCATATACACACACTACTTTCATTTTAAAAAGTAAAATTTTGAAGTTGAAAAATCTACGCCTTTTTAAGCAGTAAATCTACATGTGTTCTTATGGTACTCTCTCCAAAATACACTGCAAATAAACACATTAAAAACCTTGGAAAGGATAGAGAAAAAATAATTAATTACCTTAGGGTAACTTCTGGGAAATGGAAAAGGTGGGAAGTGTGGACTTTCATTTCTCATTTTATAGCCTCATGATTTGATATTTTTAATGATATGTACTTATAGCATTAATTATTTTTAAAAAATTATTTACCTGAATATCTGAGCATTTTCTTCTTATGTCAGAAATGGGAAGAGTCGAAAGAAGTATAAGAAGTAAGAAGTACCCTCTGTCTATTCTTCCACTCCCCTCAGCCCCTCTTGCAATCCACAGAACAAATGGACAGCAAAGTTCAAGATGGCTCTGAGGAGCTCACACCATGGAAAATTTTAAGTATGTAATATAGCCTCTAAAATAGTGAAATACTGTTTTCACAGCAGTCACCCAACTATAAGGGGTCACTAGGTGTCAGAGCCACTGTCTGGTCCCCCTGGCATCTAGCCTCCATCCTCAGCAACTCATTAAAACTGCAACTTCTGCACCAGTGACCTCTGACTGTCAAAAGTCATTTCAGAACTCAGTCCATACTGACTTTCCCACAGCATTTGAATCTATGAACATCATCGCCTTCATCCCCACTTAGAAATCCCAAAGGCATTTTTGACTTCCTTTTTCCTCATCCCCATATTCCTTCATTCACCTAAGTTTATTATCATCCTTTTAACATTTCTGGCATCTACTCCTTTGAGTATAATGTGTTCTAACTCTGGTTTAGGTCCTTGTCGCTGCCTGTCTACAGTACCACCACAGCCTCCTCACAGCTCTATTTCTGGTCCCCACTCTAAATGTCAACTTCATGAGGGCAGGGGCTGCATTCCTGTTCACTGTCTTCTTTTCACTCCTTTACCCTTCATGCCCCTGGACAATGGCCAGCACACAGCAGGAGCTCAACAAAACCCCTATGCCTACGGAACACCCTATCATTCAAGGCCTTCCACAATCTGGACCAATGCACCTT